TCCACATGCCGAAAATGAAGAACACCATTCCGTCGATATGCTCCATTGTTGTGTGTTTGTTTGTGGCGCATTTACGATGATGTCACGGCAATAGAGGCGGCGCAACTATAACGACACGTGAATAATCCCGCCCACTCTAAAGCGGCACTAAACTGCAGTCGAAATGCAAACTGAGCCAAACCAAGGTGAGCTGTACTGAACCGTGCTGTGCCGTACTATGCAGTGGAAAAGCGCCATAAGATGTACCTTTCCCTCCTGTATCCCATTGAGATTCTCTGACCTAAATTTTTATGTTCTTAAATTAGGTTTCGTCTTTATTAGGAACTTTCATTTTCTGGTCTTCTAAGGGTGCTTTTCCACCACACCAAGTACTATACTTTTGATACAGTACTTTTGTTACTTCCCTTTTCCGTTGACTTCCAGTTGAGTACCAGTACCAAAAGTCCCAGTACCCAAGAACCAAACCAACTAGGGTATATCTTTCGATACTTTGGGGTGGGACTTGTATAACCAAAGAAAGCATTTCAAGTAGCATGCCTCAAGCGTAATACAACCAGCATCTTGGAAAAAAGTGGCAAACTTCAAAAACGTCAAATGTAGTTTAAAAAAATAATAATTTAATTGATGTGTGGAAAGACCCGAGGTTAAATTGTGATCTGTTTGGTAGAAGATACAGGAAGATCTGGATGGTATGACAAGAAATAATTTTGTGTAACTTACTAGGACGGCGTGGTATTTTGTTGAAATAAATATTGGGGTATTAAGCAAAAAAGGGGTTCCATATAATTTTTCTCTAAATGTCTAGGAGTGTATTAAACAGCAAGGATGAAAAACGAGTGACACATGCAGCGCTCATGCGAAAGCTGACAGTAAACTTGTTTTTAAACTTGTTTTTAAATGTGCATTAGATAATCTTGAAAATGAATAATCATTAAAATTGCAAACCAAGTTTTTTTCCAATGAAAAAGTGAATGTTTTAGCAAAAAAAAAACGTATGTTCTTACGAAATTTAACGAAAAAGTCTGATCTTAATCTAGCTGACTAGCAATGTTAGAATTGCATGTGCATAACATGTGATGTGCGATATACCAACATTGTCCAGCCTTATACTACAGCAGTTTCTTAAAATCTTGTACAACGCACCCCTCACAACATGCGTTGTGATGTCTTTCAGTGCTGGTACCAGTTTTTATGCCAGTGGAAAACAAACACCTTCAAGTCCTGTACTTCTGATACTTTCTTGAAGTATCAAAATTATGGTACCTGGTGTGGTGGAAAAGTGCCCTAATATTGCATATTTTGTACTCTGATGACTAAACATTCTTGTAATGTGGAGTGAATTGGTCCTTTGGTGGAATGGTGTGGAGTGAATTGGTACTTTGTCCTTTGTGGGTAAAACTCCCTTTGTTAAATTGAGGGGAACCATGGTTTTTGCCAAAAGGCGACCAGTGGTTCTGTTCACACCTAGTATTAACATGCATTCTGAGTGATCCGATCACAAGTGGGCACTAAATACAGGTGTGAATGTACCCAAAACGCAGTGAAAATGCATCAGATTCCTCAAACCACGTTCGGAGGTGGTCTGGGACGCATATTGCCACTTTGTTATAGCAGCGTGAACTCGAATGTGTCCCAGGCTGCATTGAAGGACCGCCTACTTAGCTGACTGTCTTCTTGTAAGCAGAAGTTCATACATACTCATTGAACATAGGAACGGTATTTGACATGATTTATGTCAGGATATCTGTCAGTGCAGAATGGGCCACTGTGTAGTGAACTGCATGAATATCAACACCAAAAAAAGCTTTAATCTACTGGGATGCTTTTAGTATCAGACTGTCACCACCCTTTTGCTTGGAAACGTTGTCAAAGTGCACATCATTAATGTTCTGTGCATATTTGGGAAAAATAAATTGTGCAAGAAGTGATTTAAAGATGTATTGAAATTCCACAGGTCATATTTAAGGTTGCTTCATCAAAGTGCACATTATGCCAAAGTTGCATCATGTTTTATTAATATTGGTGAAAAGTTCCAGTAAAAATTACACAGAATTAAAGTGTGTAGGTAAGAATGCATATTGTTGAAATACTGATTTATACATTATTTTGAGTATTATGGCGTTTATTACAAGTATCTTAGGCATTTCGGTTAACCTGGAATGCAGCAATAGCTTTTGATTTCCCCTCCTTTTAATGTTCAGCAGATTCTGCGGAAGTAATTTACATGCTTGTTTAAGTTCTGGGAAAGTAAGACCCAATTCCAAGCGATCAGTCAAGATGCACGTGGAGGCGCATGTTAAAGTTTGAATGGACATATTTAGCTCTGCCCACTTGTGATTGGATCGCGCAGGATGCAAGTTAATACACTGGCCCTGTTCACTCCTGGTATCAGTACTAGAACATGGTGATGGTTCCTAGAGTGTTGTTCCTCAGGCACACCAATAACGGCCTCCTCCCCATGCCTGCATAGGTGCTCTGTTTGGCTGTGGCAGTAGGACACGTGAAGATGACTGAGGAGGAGCTGGTCTACAACATCCACCTGGCAGTTAACTTCCTGGTGTCCCTGCTGAAGAAGAACTGGCAGAATGTGCGAGCGCTCTACATCAAGAGCACCATGGGAAAACCCCAGCGGCTCTACTAGATGTTCAGTTGCTTCTTTCAATAAACGAGGGGGGAAAAAACATATATTCTGTGTCAGTTTCTTCCTTTGGTGCCATGTGTCCGTGTGGGTATGGCACTTTGTTCATACAAGGGTCATATCTAGTCTGGTCAGTTACCTGCACTGGGTGAAACCTTCCTACTGTCTCAAGTTAGTGAAATTTCATGAGCTCAGCAGTTGGTATCGGTAATGTTTTTACATATAATTGGACACAAAGTAAACGTGTACACACGTGGCTCCTGGTGACTTAAGCCTGATATGTCATAATTGTGAATGAAGTGTTTGATGGGCAGATTTGACTAAATGATAATATTTACAGCAAAGCCTTTTGTTAGGCTTCTGGAAAAATCAGTCTGCTTGTTAGGCATGACCTCAAGCAGGGAAAGGTTTGGCTATTAGTCCTGTATGTACACTGATTTCGCGTTGATGGAAAAGACCTTTTCTTTCTCCATTAGCAACTGTTCTGGGATTGGTTCACAATCTAATGTTAGCTGCTCTAACCTGAAGTGCTGAGACTTGCATTGACATTTTCGGTCAGTTGCCAGGGGGCCATTTGTGTTTCTGCTGGCGACTTCTGTCAGAGTTCAGCATGGTATCCTTCATTGACCGCTTTGAGTGCTGGCTTACTGTGCTTGTGGTCACCTTCAATAATCGGATTAGTACCTTGTGCTCTGTATCTAGTGGCACGTGAGAACTAGGGTGTGCACTTGGTCAGAAAATACAGGACCAGGCGTTTTAGCTGTTTGTCTTTCTCCAGACATGCAGTCGATTGTAAGGCAGATGCACACTTCTGGCACTGTGACTTTTATGAGCTGTTCGATATCTTGACCTGTTGATCGCTATAGGATAGTTCAGAGGTAAGCCACCTTAAGGTAGTTGTGACTGAAAGGTGATTATGATGCTAAGCCTGTTTTGATGTCCCGAAAAATATAACCTGTTTCAGTCTGATACTGAGATCTGTACTATGTCACGGTATTGCGCAAAACAGTAGATGGCATGTATAAAGTGGTGTATAAACTTGTTTTAAAATGATGGCAACCTTTTCTGAAAAAGGTGTGTGTGTGAGAGAAAAAGATTTTGTTTGTGAGAATTTGTTTGGTTACTGTGTACAGAACAAATTCTCTCACAAATAACTCACGGATAAGTACTACACAGAATTTGTTCTATTACTGTGTATTACTTGTCCAAGTATATCCATGAGTTATTTGTGAGATATTTTATATCTTTTGGATGTACATCACTTAATGATCTTTACATCATTAAGTGTTAATGTGCCTATGAAGTTCTGTGTGTGTTTTTTTGGTTATATTACATTGTGGGGACCAAATGTCAAAAACTTATCTTGTGGGGGCATTTTTCTGGTTCCCACAATATAAACCTCAAATTTATAAAAAATCAGTGACTGCAATCAAAAACTAAAGATGTCAAAAGTCTTGTATTTTCTTTTGTTACTTATAGTGAAGTTAGGGTTATGCCCATTGAAGTTAATAGATAGTGTCCCCACAATGATAGGAATGTATGAACTGTGTGTGAGTGAGAGAAAATGTGATTCAAGCATCTGTGGGAATGTGAGCAGCTGTGAGTTGTGTGGGTAAGACAGGCAGGCTGAGTTTTGACCTGCCTAACTTGTCCTCAGGCTGCCGTTTGCTCAGAGATCGTCTTCGTCTCATGCTCACGGTCTCTGCGTGTCACGTTGGGCTAGGTGAGACCCCATCCCTCACGTACCTTCTAACAGTATTCTAGCATGTCTTTTGACAAGCACTGAAGCATTTTAACCCAGGATGTCAGACTGACATTTTTCTGAATTTAACCATCTGTTTGACTTGCAGAATCATTTCTTTTGACCTAGATTGTTGATAAAACAGTTTGTGTACTGGTTTCTTCAACATGCTGTGAAATGCCTGACACAATGGGATGGTGCTTTTTGTGCTTTAATGTTCATTGACCTCTCTTTTAACTTGGTAATATTTTGAGTTTTTCTGCTTTTATAATGTCCAACCATGGCTTTGAAACTAAATTAGATAAAAGGTTAAAAAAGCCAAAATGTCTTGTCTTATGTTTGTGTGGTGAACATATAGGAGCAGACCACCCTGCTCTTGGCAGAATAAATGCTCCTGTCCTTTAGCCAAATGCTCTCTAAATGTGAGGCATACCTCTAGCATGCCATCCAAAGTAGCTTCTATTTACTGAAATTTTATATTTCATCCAGCTCTGTAGAGTTTGTATTTTGAATATGAACTTTGGGATATTTCCTGTGCTTGAGTGTCCAGGCTGACCACGGCTCTATATTTCAATAATCAATTATTATAGATGGATGGAAATTTAGAGCATTTATAAAGGTGGTTCTTCAGTACCATAAAAGATTATCCATGGGGAGACCATCCTTGGCTCAGTAACTCACCACATGCAGGACAACATTATAAAGTTTCTTTTCATTCTTGATCACCCTAATGTCTGTGGGCTGGTAGGTGGTACAGAGGTGGTTGCCCTAGATCAGAATTTATCAGACATGACCCTCATTATGTCATGTTTAAATGTACTGTATAACACATTTATAACAACATTAGTTGCACCAAAGTGCTGTACAGTGCCGATAAAAATGTTACTTAAATTCTCCAGGCAGATATTTAATGGAAGCATCTCCCTCATGCATTTTTGGGAGCAATATTTGCCACAAACCCCATCTTTTCTACACAATTTCAGCTGATTTATATTTGCGTGCAAAATCTATGCCATGGGTACGGCATTGGCAGATGTGCAACTCAGTGGAAATGCAGGGCTGCCAACTTTAGTCTGGAGTGAGATTTTAAATTTGAGCCAAGTCTGCACACACCTTTACATGTATGTAACAGTTTTATTACCTTGTAAATAGTCTGTAAACTACCCAAACAATTTTAGGCAAATTTTAAGTTTATTAGGTTTTAGGCAGACTGTTCCGTTGCCTGATGTCCAGGACTGAGAGACTCAGGAAGAGTTTTTTCCCCTAGGCCATAAGGCTTCTCAATTTAGACTAACTCTGGTCCTTCTGTACACTATGTACGTTTGCACTGAATGCACAAATACTGCACATTTGCACTATATTTCAGATTTTGCACTATGTTTTATCGCAGATACCAACTGTGTAGCATATGCAAATACCAGCAGCATGGGGTGTGCAGATACCGACTGTGTAGCATATGCAGAGTCTGGGGGCGTAAGGTGCGCAGATACAGACTGTGTAGCGTATGCAGATTCTGGGGGCGTAAGGTGCGCAGGTACCGACTGTGTAGCGTATGCAGATTCTGGGGGCGTAAGGTGCGCAGATACCGACTGTGTAGCGTATGCAGATTCTGGGGGCGTAAGGTGCGCAGATACCGACTGTGTAGCGTATGCAGATTCTGGGGGCGTAAGGTGCGCAGATACCGACTGTGTAGCGTATGCAGATTCTGGGGG